TGATGGCATCACGCGGGAGTCAGAAAATCCTGGTAGCCTAGTCATGCGCTAATCCGGTATTTAAGAAGGACGCTTCACTGGTTCGGGGGAAATAGAAGCAGGGCTCTTGGCGCACTGGAGGGGGAGTTTTACACACAATTAACAGTCAGAGAAAGTTATTCTTGATGTGCTGAAGTGATACTTTTGGAAGTAGAGTTAGTTGAGGTGCGTAAACAGTCGGTTAAACTGACTTTAAATCAGCCGCGGCCGTGCGTAAAAGTTTGGATAATGTTCCGGTGCTGCTTTTTAGTGCTTGTGGGCGCGGTGGTGGTGAGCGCCCAGTTCCCCCGACAGTGTGTGACACCCGAAGCACTGAGGAGCGGAACCTGCTGTCCGTCGCCTATTGGACTCACGAATGACCCATGCGGAGCCAGCTCCGGGCGCGGACAGTGCGTGCTGATCTCCGTGGACGCGAGCCCCCACGGTCCTCAGTACCCGCACGACGGACAGGATGATCGAGAACTGTGGCCCATCCGATTCTTCAACCGAACCTGTCAGTGCAACAACAACTTCGGCGGGTTTAGCTGCGGCCGATGCAAAACCGGATGGACGGGGATCAACTGTGACGAGAGGGTTTCTGTTGGTAAGAGCGCTTGCTGGGGGTAAATCTGTAGACATATATTATAATAATGGGGTTGTATAACTTTATCTCACCTGGAGGCAAAGAGTAAACCTTGAGTTTTTAGCAACACTGTATATTGTTTGGTGCACTTTGTGACCACATGGTGCGCACAATTAATTTGTGTGCATTTATTCTCGTATTAAACCATTTCTGTTGAACTAAGCGAGAGTATTATACATGTTATGAATGTTAATTGAAATATTTCTTATTTGAAGAAATGAAAAGCACTTCAGACAGCTTGTATCCCTAAAACTTTGGGACAATGTCATTTGACATAAATGTAATTGACACCAAAAATGACCTGCACATTTTCTATACTTCCCTTGCAGTCCCTCAATACTGATCCGCAATTAACGCAGGAATTATTATATTAATCAACTTTCCCTTTCCCATTATCCCCATAGTAAGAAGAAACGTGATGGTTCTCAGCCCTGAGGAGAAACGTGCATTCGTTGACGCGCTGGACCAGGCCAAACGCACAGTGCACCCTGAGATCGTGATCACCACGAGGCGCTATCCTGAGATCTTCGGGCCCGAAGGGACCACGATGTTTGAGAACATCACCATCTACAATTATTTCGTGTGGTCCCACTACTTCTCGGTCAGCAAGACGTTCCTGGGCACTGGACAGCCTAGCTTCGGGGGTGTGGACTTCTCTCACGAGGGGCCAGGTTTTCTCACCTGGCACAGATATCACCTGTTGCAGCTGGAGCGAGACATGCAGGTAGGTTCAATAATATTGATTCAATTAGAAAATGATTTCATTGTTTTTTTCTGGTAGCTTTTATTTTACTTTAGGCCTTTTTTTCCACACATTGGCGCAGAAATCATAAATGGCAATTTCATACTTTAATGAGCATGCAATATTTATTTCATCCACCCTATCATCCCTTCACTGTTACCCACAGAAACTGACAATTACGCACACTTACACTTGGGTTTTTGTTTCAAGTCAGGTTAAGAATTAATTAAACTGAGAAATGCCTCGGGAAATCTTTTGTGGATTTTAGTGAAGTGGTGCTTTCCTTTGCACAAAAACTGTGAGGAAAAATATCCGGCTTTAGCTTAACAACATTCTATTAAATGTGTTATTTGGTTTAGTGAGCAGCTTTACAAAGACTTACGAGATCTAAAATTGTAGAATCTCAGAATGGGATTTGGTAATTTTCGAATTACATTTTAAGCTTAGTGAATCATTTGACTTATCCTGTGTATAAGCATTACAAGTAACCTTATGTGTTTAATTGTAATTATCTTAAGTTAATTTTAAGTAGAAATGAATTAAAAACTGGATGAAAAGTGAGTAGTGTCTATCTTACAAGTTTGTAAATGATTTCAATATCCCATTACTGTCAGCAGTACAAGAATATACATACGCAGGTTAAAAACCTTGCTTCTACATGTTCCAGATCTTATCCTTAAACATCTTTTGCATGCTCTCTTTATTCAAACCAACCAGTCCATGCTACAAAACCCGTCATTTGCCCTGCCCTACTGGAACTTTGCCATCGGTGGCAACACATGTGACATCTGCACAGATGACCTGATGGGAGCCAGGAGCAGCTTCGACATGAATTCCCTGAGCCCCAACTCGATCTTCTCCCAGTGGAGGGTGGTCTGTGAGAGTGTAGAGGACTATGATACACTGGGAACCATCTGCAACAGTAAGACGATTTTTTTTTTTTTATTAAGCAACAAGGGGATATTTTTGTGATGTGACAGTGATTCTCTCTGTTGTTGAAGAGCAGAGAAGTTTAGTCTGATGTGATTCCTTTTCCAGGCACTGAGACTAATCCTATCAGAAGGAACCCAGCAGGAAATGTTGACAGGCCGATGGTGCAGCGTCTCCCAGAGCCCAAAGACGTGGAGGAATGTCTGCAGGTTACAACTTTTGACACACCACCCTACTACTCCACCTCCTCCGAAAGCTTCAGAAATGCAATTGAAGGTGACTTAAACTCTTCCTCTTTATGTCCATCTGGCATAGAGATTTGTTTTTTCCCTCCTATGAGGATTTTGTTATTCACGTTCATGTTGTCATCTGCAGGTTACAGCACCCCCCAGGGGAAATACGACCCAGTGGTGAGGACCCTCCACAACCTGGCTCATCTGTTCCTGAACGGGACTGGAGGAACAACTCACCTCTCACCCAATGACCCCATCTTTGTCCTTCTGCACACCTTTACTGACGCCATATTTGATGAATGGTTAAGGAGACATGCTCCAGGTGTTTCAGCAATAAATACTTTGTTTCCTTTATAAGACCTCCATGTAGTTAGCATTGTTAGCTCTTTGGCTCTTTTGGCTTTGGCAAGTATTCCTTCACATAACATTCTGGTTCCTTTTTATAATGCCTGCAAAACATAGGTCGGTTAGCATGATTAGCTTCTTGGCTACATTAGGTATTTTTGACAGAATTGTCTGTTTTCCACTTTATATTACTTTTAATATTTGCTTTTATTGTGAGCATGATTTGGCTAACTCTAGGCTTTATTTGACAGATGTGTCTGTTTTCTTTTTTTTTGTATAATCTAAATATTTCTCAGCTTTGAGGTTAGCATGTTTTCTAACTTTCATCATTTCTTTAAAGAATTGTCTGTTACACTTGCATTGTTTTTACAGCTTTAATATTAGCATGTTTAGCTCTTTTGCTAACTCCAAGTATTTTTCAACAGATATGTCTGTGTTTCCTGGAGAGATGGCCCCCATTGGTCATAACAGGGGCTACAACATGGTGCCTTTCTGGCCGCCAGTGACTAACGCTGAGATGTTTCTGACCGCCCCTGATAATCTTGGTTACACTTACGAAGCTCAATGGCCAGGTATTTCTCTCTCTTTGTCCTTTTTGTACCAAAGACTATATATATCTGTCTTTTTTCAGTCTTACAAAGTTAATAATCATCTCTTAAAATCATTCCAGCCCAAGCTTACACCCTGACTGAAATCATCACCATGGCGATAGTTGCTGCCCTTGTGGTTGTTGCTGTCATTTTCGCCGCCACCACATGTGCCTTGCGTGCCAGGTCTTACAAGATGGATGGCCACCAGCCCCTGCTCGGGGATCAGTACCAGCGCTACGATGACAAAAATAGCCAATCAGTAGTATAACAGCTACACGCCTCTTCTCTCAACTTTTATAATAACAAAACATGAAGTTTGTTTGTTTAACCCGAATCTATTTTCACTGGTGAGCAAGAGTAGAATATTGAATGCTACATTGTGATAGGAAGTGATCTTCTTACTTCATTCATGTCCATATTTCAAAAGCTGATGTAGTCCGTTTATCCTATCAAATAGTACAGATGTAAACAATTCAAACACTGATTGAAGATGCATTTTTGTAATTGAACCAGTAAAATATTTGCATTAGCTAAGTTCAGCACTTGTTTTTTTTTTTTTTTTTTTAATTTTGAGATTTAAAAAAAAAAATTGGAAATGTAAAATGTGTTCAAATAAAGCGCACATGGACAACCAACGTGTGGGTGTGATAGCAGTGCTACTTGTGAGGGGATCTTGTGAAAGAAAAAGTATTTGTAACTTTAAATTCCAACTAAAGTATCATGAATGCTGGACAAGTCATCATTACAAATCTACATCTTTATAAAGGATATCACTTCCTGTGGGTTTTTTTTTTTTTTTTTTTAAATAACAGTTTAGATAAGCTGCACCACAACATAATAGAAGTAGATGGGGAGTAATTGTTATTTAAGACACTGCCCGTGTAACAGAGCCATAATGACCACAAGGGGGTGCAATAATTCAATTGATGAAACTGCGTGTAATACTCTTGTCAAGGGAGGTGGAGTTTTTTATTTCGGTTTTTTTTTATGTATTGATGACTTAATCTAAACAACCTATGACATAATGAGTAAATAAGATGATTAAAAAAAAAAGGTTTTAGAATTTCTTTATCATTAAAAGCGAAAATTCATGTCGAAAATTTCATAAATAATTTTCTGTTACATATTTACTTTTGCAAAAGAAGTTTGATATTTAAACGCCACATTTTCAACATGATTACATTTTAATCGTAGCAGAGTTTTTTTAATTTTGGGTTTACACTAAAGCTGGATGTTGGCTAAGCACAGATTTTCCAACCTTGTGTTAAACTTGTTAAATGTGTTAAATCACGTGCACACTTTGTATTTGGTTTTCTCTGTTCCTCTTGCAGTGTAAGCCATTATACACATGCATTTTAAGATACAACATGCACCAATGCTTCATACCAGTTGCCCCTGAATAATAAGTTTCAGTGAATACAGGACTGCTTTTCTTTATGCTACCCGGTATCACCTCACCTGTCTGGTGTCCGGTTTCATGAATGGGAGGGGTCTTGTTAAACTGTCTCACTACTGGTGGGACTCTAGAATGGGGAGGTCTGTCCATGTAACAGCGGTGCGCTAAATCCAATGTAAATTGGGACTGATTCGACGCTTCTTTCTGTGAGCTGGTGAATAAAGTTGTGAAGCTCTTCTGCCTGCTTCAAGTCATTCAGCGCGGACGTGTAATCCCCGCGTCAGGGCACAATGGAAGAGGATAACAACGTATTCCCCGAACTGAAGGACATAGAGACAAAAGTGGGTCGTAAAGTCCCCGAAAGTCTCATTCGTTCACTTGTTGGAGGAAAACATAAAGAGCAGCACGAGAAGTCCACGGCGACGCATTTAGGGGACTGCAAGTTGTGCAGTAATTCTGCGGACTTGAAAAGACTGGAGAGCAAAATGCTGTTCCTGAAACAAGAAATGGTAAGCAACTTTGTCCCTTCTATGTATCCTGTACTTCAACAAACTGCTGCGGAATCTAAACTGTAGGCTTTAAGGCTATATTAAAATAAAGTGCAACTCGTTAAACAACTACCGGCTCCAAACATATCACATGATGTGACACTGTTAAATATTCAATGAAGTGACGCATATTTGTTTATATTTCTCTGTCTTGTATCATAATAACATGCATGTTCTCTAAATACGAACTGTGCTTTTCTCCCATCCATTGTTTTGTATCCAATCACTTAAAACAGCCCCTTACTCAAGGTAATCAATTCCTTATCATTTCAGGTAAACTTTAAATAAGTCTAATGTGTTCTCTTGTTGTTGGCAACTAAGCCGTGCGCACAGGAAATGCCTCTGCTGGATGCAATATAGGTTTACGGATCAACACGTGGTGGTTAAAATTCAAAGATTCAGTGTTGAGTCATTGTCTTAAAAAAGCTGTGCGTAACCGGTGGTCAGTAGCCCTTCACACCTACAGTCAGCAGGGAGCTTTGTTGATGAACCCTCCTCACCTCCCTCTGTTGTTATTCAAACTGCAGTGAAAGCCAACTGTGCCTGTGTAACTTCCTTTTTCACCATGACGCGATGTTATCACAGCAAAATGTAATCATTTCTAAATGGCAACATTATTGCTGAAAAGTCTGAGTCAACAGTAACCCCCCCCACCCCCCATTTGAAGTAACGTCACCAAAGGTATTAAGACTCCTGAGCAGATGGCCGGGTTGACCGAGTTTTACAGACTGTAGTAGAGCTGATTCATGGCTTATAACACACAGACTGATCACTCAACGAGGCTATGTTGATAGGCTTAGCCTTTTGTTGAGGTTACCCCACACTAGTTACCTATCTATTAGGGGCTATTTTTTATATAGCAACACCTTTCCTAGGTCTTATTCTGTTGTAAAATCTCACATTTTCTAACAAGCCATACCATTTCATAGTCTATAAAAAAAGGTTGTGAGAAAAAACACTACCTGCCTCTGTCAGACTAACTTCAAAAAGTTGATAGGCAGGCACTTGTCAGCCTCCTTTTTGTTTTTCCACTTGTAACCTTCTTAATTGTCCATCCAGAATTCACTGTTTCGGTTTGCACGAGTGTAGCAGACACAAACTTACAAGGACATTGTAGTGTTTATATTAACAGTTCAAATGATGATGTTCACGCTGCTGTCAATATTATAGTCCCCGTTTGTGTCCAACAACACATTTTGGGATTTGGACCCACCTGTGCCATCTTCTTAACACAAGATAGCTCCTTGGACTACAATTCCAAGATGATTCCATCTGCTCAGCTTCCATGTGTGTATAAAGCGGGTAGTAATGCTCACAAAGCAAACACACCGGCAGTAACATGAGCTGAATGAAGAATGGTAGCTAATCCACTCCAAATACCGCCAGCTGTCTGAAAACACTGTGCCAGCCTTGTCTGCCGTCATCTTCCTCGACGCTTTTTCAACCTTCCAGGCTGTCACAGCTGTCCGCTAACCGTTTTTCACTCTGACTGGGTGCTTTGAATGACTACATAGGCTGCCCACTTCCACCACCAGTCAATGGCGTGGATTGTCAAGGCAGGGACCTAAATCAAAAGCCATACTGTGTTAAGCCATCACATCATTCAGAATCATGGACGCAAACTACTTCCTGCTTTTAGTCCCCATTCCGGTGTCACATAGTTAGGTCCTTTTGTTCTCAACACAGCCTGATAGTCTAAACAAATAGCACATAGTGTTCTGGCAGTGAGAGGGCATAAGAATGCTAACAATAGTTGAGAAAGAAACTCGCCACAAGGATTATTTTGTAGCCGAATTGGGAGCTTTCGTTCATATCACATGATCTCCATCAGCAGAGGGAGATTTCCAAGTTTTTATGGAGTTGTGATTCTCAAATCTTTATCTGGCACTTTCTAAGCCCAAGTTCATTCGGCCTATGAAAATCATGTGGTGGGATCTTAAAGCTTGTGAACAGCTCCTTTACAATATGAAGAGTTTTTTTTTTCCTCCACAGTAGTTGGCTATGATTAAAGCACTGGATTTTGTTTGTTTTTTGGCTCCCATTGTATTAGTGAGGGAATAATGCTTCATGTATCTGTGTAAAGGAGTAGTTTCAAATATTAAGAAATGCACATTTCTTGCTGAATACATAATCATAATGTATATTTTTTTGTTATATAATGTCGACGGTTTCCTTTAAATGTTGAATCATCTTTAAGTTCCTCCACAGACAGATGGCTGTTTACAAATAGGTCCAGTTCTGCTTGAGGTTTCTACCCCAAAAACTGAATTTATTCTGGCTGTTGTTGTAAAGTGATTTCTCATTAGTGGATTGAGTCTGCTGTCTGTGAATAATATTACAAAGAGAGTTATCTAGACCTGCTCTATAGGTAAAGAGGGGTGAGGTAACTTTGTTCATTTCAAGGGCTAAACATGGAGTGATTGATTTACCTTATGATATCTCTCTTCTCACAGGCACATCTGCGAGCCATTGATGGGAAGCTGATGCAGCAGCTGATGTCTATCAACGAGGGCATCGAGTCCATCCGGTGGATGATGGAAGACAAAGGAGGCGTTGCCAGCCAAGAGGGGAGCCTGACGGGCAGCTTGTACAGCCTGTCAGATAGCCAGGACGGTACCTCACTGCGAGGCAGCTTTAACAGCTTGAATGATGGGAACAGTGACGGACTGGATAGTCTGTCTGTGGGCAGCTACTTGGACACGCTAGCAGAGGACCTCTCGGACAACCCGTCACCAACAGATCTCGACAGTTTTGTGGATAAATCAGTTATCGACGGAGATGCTTTCAGCAAGTCGCCTCTGAAACTCAGGGTGGAATCAGACGAATACTACTGCTTTGGATAATATGAAGCTAAAACATGGTGGTTGCAGAGACTACTGACTAACTCTGACATATTAACACAGCTGTCAGGTTATTTTCTCACATGATTTGAATTTTGTCAGTGTAGCGGCAGCAAAGATGTTGGCAAGACTTAGAAAATGACTCATGACACCTTGAACCTTGAAACCAGTTTCCTTAAGTTGTAACACCAAGTCCTTAACACACCTCATGAAACAATTCCCACTTAATGTCACACTAACCACAATGAAACTTCTTAACAACTCTTAATATCTTAATACTTTATGATGCAGGTCAATTGAATTTAAAGGGTGCTCTATTTTAAACAATTCTGTATTTATTTGGAGGTTTGCAGTACCTCAGCTATTTATTTTACAATTAATTAAAATTACATCCTAGCAAGTAAGGCGTGGATGGAAGTAGCAACATTAGCAGAACAGCAAATGTCCTTCTTTATCTTTATAAATGTTAACTTAACTATGTGTTAAGTCAACCATTATAAACTGATCCTAGTAAAGGAGTAGATAAGGATTTAGCTGCAATTTGGAAAATTGGGCATTTAATGCGGTGCGATCGGAGAGATTAACTATTTTAAGTGGCGCAGTGATATGTTTAAGTGTTACACAGCCAGTGCAATTTGTTTCCATGCCAAATCTTTGAGTGTTGCCGACTGTAAACGTTAAAGCTTTTGATTGATTTTTCTTAGACATTTTGACTGACATACAGAACCCCATCCTGAAAAAGTGGTGTTTACATGTACACAGAAGAGATAAGTAGCACATTCAAAACACATATGCTTGACTGAAAGACCAAAGCGATTTGATTGTCTTACAGATAATTTATACCCGGGGGAGGGGGGGGGGGAACCCTATGAACAGCAGATGGGAGATTTGTTGGTGTTGGACATATGTGGAACACGTTTGCTCTGTGGGCACATTTTAAATCTCTGTTGTAAAAAAAAAAAAAAAAAGATTAAATGAGAGCATTACAACATTTGTTTGTTTTTCTAGCTTTAAACTCATATTGATTTTTTTGTATTGTCATTGCCTCCTTTTTGGGGATTTTTTGTTGCTGTTAACTTTGTTGTGGAAATGAAATAATATATTGATTTTCCTCTGAGTCACATTGTGTACGTTTTTAAGGGAAGGGAAAAAATACCTTCTAACTGCTGTATAATTCCACATTTTTAGAAAAAAAAAAACAATTCCACACACCCCATTACTGAATCTTAATGAGATGGAAAGTGAACATTATGGTGGTTTCCTTTTTTGGTAAATTTAACGTTAGGCTTCATCTCTCTGCAATGAAGTCGGGCTTTCTGATGCCCTGTGTAATGTTGCGTTGAAAATGACCCTCATTAATTATTCTCTCTCTCTCTCTCTCTCTCTCTCTCTCTCTCTCTCTCTCTCTCTCTCTCTCTCTCTCTCTCTCTATAACACTTGATAAAAGAAAAACAGGAAGATGATTCTAACTTTAGAAAAAAAAATTGCCCTTTGAAGTTCCCAGGCCATTAGCAGAGAAATGGCATTTGGGATGAGGTTTTGAAAGACTTCCTTGTAATATCCTGGATAAAGAATCGTATTACAGAACGCTCTTGAGTGTCTGTTGTGAGTTCAAAAAGTTGTGCAACTTAACACCGATCAAGAATGACACCAAATTGGAATTGAAAGACCGTCTGTACAAAATATTTCACCGTCCTCTTTTTTTGATTTTCATGTGTTCTGCATCTGTCTTGTGTCTTATCTTTCATGTGATAATTGAACTTCCAGACAGACTATACAGGGAAAGTCATTATAGGAAAGATGAGAAGCTAGGTCTCTTTGGCTTGCAAATGAATGCATGGCCATGGGGCACGGTATCAGGAGTTCTCAGACTCAGGACTGACATCAGGACATGTTGCCTTGCCGGATTAGTCTTCAATTATTCACTTGGTCCATGGAGCTGTCTCGTATTATATGGAACTAGCAGTTGTGAAATCTCGAATGAAGCTAAATCCTGAAATCTTCCAGCAGAAAATAACATTAGACACAATGGATGCCTTTAATGTTACATTAGTTCTAGACAGATATAATCACTTTGTCCAACCACTTTAAGCACACTTGGAACTTTGTCTCACTCAAAGTGCAAAGCTGCTTGATTTGGGTTTTATGCTGCAATTTCCTTATCTCCACCTCCCAGAGGCTTTGGTGAGCTTAAGCTCCCTGTCAAGCTGAACCAGACCACTAAACCGCAGAGCTTTATGAATGGCAGCATGACCTTCTTGTCAGCGATTCAATTAAAAACACAAAAAGTTCTCTAGACTTCCCCAAAAAATGTCACATACTAACAAATGCAACCATGTCAAATCTGCCTTCTAGCCCTCAAGGGAAAATGTTAAGACGAAAGGTAGGGGCCTTTGACATAATTGGACACACAAAACAGGTTTTGCAAGTTTCTGCTGCAATACGTATGAGTCAAAATTCCTCAGAGCTGTATGGTACACTTCACCTAAACTAGAGTTGTCTTCCCCTTGCTTTGGAAGTGTTCATTTCCGACATAAAAGTGAGAACAAGTTGACACAGCTCGTAGTTGTGAGATCAGTGCCGTCTTTTAACAAGTCACCCTGTCAGTTCTAGAAAAAGTCATCATTTCTGCTCCAGCTACAAACTTAAACCTGTGTTTTCACCCTTTCCTAGTAAAAGTGAAGGGTCAAATTACAACATAAGTGTTCCTCTTATAAAGCGAGAATGAAGTCAGCCGAATTTTTCCGTCAGCCTATAGACACCCTGTTCCAAAGGGTGAATGAACCCCAGGTTTTTGAAAGCAAGCAAAATCTGCCTTCTGAGTTCTGGTTCAAAGTGCAAAACATTGATGTTATTTTTTCTCATGGTTAGTTTCTTCACTCAAGCACACGTAATTACACACATGCACAGTCACGACGGCAGCTTCCAGCAGGGATCCATTAACAAATTAGACACTGTGGTTGGACCTCTGCCACAAGATGAAGGGAAACCAATACCGTTGGTATCTGGGAAACTGTCGCCATGCTACCAAATGAGGATACCGGATACAGGGTTAGTGGAGAAGGTTTTAGTGGGGGATCAAAAGAGCCAGACAGGAAGCAGATACCACAGTAAACGTACACCATTGTCAAGTTACTTGACTCTGGTTTAATTGGGATTTCTCTCTTTGGGCATCTGGTGTGCTTCACAGTTATCCAACAACCTTAAATGGACTGGAGATGTCTTTACACATCAGTTATATTAAAGGGAGTTATGGTGAACTTAAGAATAAATGTTTGCAATGGGTCTGTGTGCTAAGCGACCATGCTTATGCTTACACTCATGATGGATGACGCACATTAGATCCACCGTGTCGGCCTTATTACATTTCCAGACATGAGGAGCTCCATGTTGGGAGATTTATGAAGCTGTGGCAAACTTAATAAGGCTTGTCCCATAGCATGCATATCTTGTATCGTCTAGGAAAAATACTTAATGAATGTCAAGGTTTGACGCAACACTGAAGTTGTCCTTTAAGTTTTTCTGCGCTGCTGATGCGACGATAGCTATGGACCTCAGACCAAGCAAATACTTATTATTACGTAAGTGGAGGTCATATAGGTTACCTCTTAAGTGAGGAAAACTCCAGATTCAAGGAGCTGGCGTCTTGAAGGAGAAATCAGTTGGCATTTTTCCAAGATTTTGAACTCTGAATGTCCTCTTAAGAGCCTCTTAAAACCGTTCTGCTGCTGGGAACTGTTCAGAACAGACACTGTGTTCATCAGTGCAAATATTAAACATTAACAATGGCCGCCGCCCCTGCTCTCATAAAATAGCTTCGCTGAGATGTGGTAAATAAAGCACCCTCTGGAAGCTTCTGTAAACATCACCAAGAAAGTATCTGAGAAACCCAAATACTGCCAGAGGCCGGCCTGAGAACATATTAGCTTCCATGCTGGTACATTCCATTCATAGTTCATGGGGTTATTTTTAATCAGCATAAACAGAGGGCGTGCTTGATTGTTTATCAGATGTAGTTACAGCAATAAAGATTTACAATAGCCCCATGAGACCAATTCTGGGCCATTTTTCTCTAGTGTTTGGGAAATCTCACAAGATGATATCAATCCCATTTGTACATTTACGTATTTTGTGTAGCCATGGCTCAGTGAACCAAAAGTCAAGAATAAATAGGTAATATGGGAAACACTTGTATCATTTGAGAGACTTACCCAAGGTGCTGCCAAAATGTAAATTTACATTCACAAAAACAGACATACAGAAAAAAAATCCTAATAACATCAGCTGGAATGACAAAATAGCATTGACCAGGTAAACATTTTAATATATCCCACTCATTTTGAATACTAATTAACTCTATATATATTATTTATGTATGAAATACAAGAGAATAAATCAACATCTTCAACATTATCCTTTTTAAAACTTATGTTGACCGTTATTCTTCAGGTTTTCACTTCACAGTACTTATTGTTTACATATTTTAGATATTTTCATAATGGAGCAGTGTTACTTTTTTTTTTTTTACAATTATTTTGTACCAGTTTACATTTGACACATTTATCATTAAGTGTAAAGGGGGTAACGACAGACAATCATCTTTAGAATATTCAGCTCCCTTGGGATTGACAAAGCTTTTAATCATTTCAGCACATTGTTGCAACACAACTCTGAATGACAAAAGGAGGAAAAATATGAAGAAAAAAATAATGTGTCTACATACAAAGCTCTACTAAACAAACTATCAATCTCTTCATCTTTTGATGCATTAGCATCAGAGGATCGTTGGGAGATAATTTCCTAATGAAAGCATGGACTGGTTAAACCAGTTACACTGTGACCACCGCCAATGTCAACAAATTTAAAGTTATTTTATTACAGGAACGAAGGATTGGCCACTTAGTCATCATTAGTACAACCTTTACTCTGAATATCAAATGAGCGTTACCTTCTCTCCACTCACAAGTCTATCTGTTTTGGGGTCCTTTTTCCTGACTAGTCTTTGGCAGCCCTGGCTGTTGATCCAGCTGAGATTAAACACCAAGCTGCATCAGCCAGGAACCTTCACCAGATAGGAAGGGGCGAACAAAACAAACCTCTATCCCATTTGATCCCCCCTTTTTTCACTCCCCTTTTCTCTTTCTATCTGAGCCAGGAAGCCTTTCCGTGACTATATTAGGAATCAAAGGGAGTTCTACAGAAGGCACTGACCCTGCCAGAGGGTTTGAACTTCTGCTATGCTCTTTGACAGCAAAGTTGTGAGTCATGAAAGAGACTGAGAGAAGTATGTTTTATCATGGTTTCTTTGAACTTCATGGAAACCTCGCTATTACAGTGAATGAGATTATTTCAGGTAAAACTTTTCCAGCTTTGTCCGTGTATTTGACTTGTGGTGTCACACTCAAACTGCGAAGACGTTCTCATTTTGCGTTATTGCCACACTAGTTTTTAACAATATCTCATTGAGAAACCCTGCCGGCAACGGGCATCATGAAGCCAAAAGGTCAACAATCTTTTCAAACGACACCTAGCAACAATAGGACGCTGTGTCATTAAAGAAGCATTGCTAGGGTTACCCCTCTGTTGGCAAACATGGCGGACCAAAAATGTTTCCCAGTGGATAACTGCTTTGTAGTTCCCTGGACACTCATCCAGGTCAAACGAGGGGCAGTTTGGGGTCAATGGGAAAGCATCACAATTGATTGACCCAGAGAGGTCAAGACACATTGATCTAACGACTTTGTGATGAAGAAGTTTGGATATTCCATCAATCTGTTAGATATGAACTCTTGTTGTAATTCTTCTGCCTGCTGTTTTCGTCCATATTTTATTATTTTAACATCTTAACAGCACCCCCCCCCCCCCCCCAAAAAAAAAAACAGCTCTGTTTCAATTCATTAAGATGTGTGAACTACAGCCAGGAGAGAAAAATATTTGTCACAGACCCAGTTTGTTGTGTGTACTCCAAATATTCTC